CGGCCAGAGTTAGAATTCCAGTTTTGGCCGGCCAAATTCGGAATTTTCCATGTGTAGGCATCTCAATTCTAAGTTTGGCCGGCCAAAAGCAGAATTCCAGTTTTGGCCGGCCAAATTCGGAATCTGGCCGAATTCTAAGTTTGGCCACAACATATATATATATATATATATAATATAGCGACTACTCGGAATAAGAGTTTATTCACTTCAAATATCTGAGCTTTCATCGCACAATTTTGCGAGTTCGAACTCACTTGAAAATATCCAGAACTACACTGGTGTACGGCTAGTAGATGCCACTATTAGAAAAAAGTTCAAAAAATCTATCATGTACAATAATAATATAATCATATACAAAGTTCAAAGAATCTATCATGTGCAATGAATCTAGTTATTTAAATGTACGTGAGAAGAATCGTAATGCATTGGCAACCTTTTAATAAATCGTTTGTTTTCCATCCGGTAAACCGATTAGTACGTAGCTGAGACCATTAGATACTGGTCAATGTTTTTGTTGGCATGTGAGTTGGATGCTGGGACTTAGCTGCTGTAAGATTGTGCAGTGCCCTGGTATGTGCATGTTGTTCTTGAGTTTTTTTCCTTTGAATCGTGTTTAGAAATTCACGTCTAAATAATGTGGATGTGAGACAGTGAAGATAGAAATTAACTGAATAGTTGATATTTAATAAAACAGTGAATATTGCTCCTATTACGAGAAATAAAGTGAAATCTTTGTCATTCGCACTTAGAGTTTTGAGTGTAAATAAACGATAAATCGAATAGGGCACCGTTGTTACCACAAATAAGATAATATTAGTAGTCAATAAGAGAAGCAACTGTTTCTGTAGACGTTGGTTTCTGCTCGTACCACCACCAGCATCTGTATGAGATATCGCATGAACCGCATTACGGCTATGACGGATGTTACGGTAAATGCCACCAACAGCTAAAAGCATAACTAAAGCAGGAAGAAGCGATACCATTATTACTTGAATAATAATCCATGAAGTGGTATAAAATGCATAATAACTCGCATCGGCAAAGCGTGGCCCGCAAACATTTTTTAGAAAAGGTAACACTGTTCCGTACAATGGTGTAATAGTATGACTATTTAGGCCAATAGAGCAGACGCATAATATTAACACAGATAGACATACATTTCTTATTGTACAAATTGATTGTATTCGACCAGGAAATTGTGTTCGGATCCATCTGTCAATGCTGATGAATACCAACAACCATGCCGAGAACATCATTGAAAAGCCGTTAATAAATCCTCGCAAACGACATATTTCAACGTAATACGGTGTTGATGTTGTAATTTGCAAACCATCCATAACAAAATCATAAATACTCATTAACACATAAATTAAATCGGAAACAGCCAAAACCATGAAGAACATACTTGTAGAAACATGACGAAGGACCCTACGTGAAAATGTTAACAAGCTACATATATGACCAATTATACCAACAGCAATTGTAATTGCACCACCGTAAATATAACTATTACTCGCAATGCTTGATGTCGTGGTTCCACTTATGCTGAATCCGCCGCCGTTAGGCGAGCTATTATACGCCATTTTATGTTCTTCTTGAAAGCTACTCCTAGCGAAATATGATGCGAATAAATACATAATAGATATATTAAATAATATATATATACATTCAACAGAAAATAGAAATCTGCAAGATGTAATCAGAAATAATCAAAATTACAGACAACAATTCTAAATTTATTGGACTATACATTTATGCCTTAAATCTATTTTCCGTTGAATAACTTTCTGGTGAGTAATAATTATTATTCGTGTTCATAATTTTTAATTGCATGTGGACATAAATATCACCTGAAACTTGGTAGACAAAGAGGAAAATCGCTCTGTGTTTGTTTGATGTGGCATATGTACACCGGAAAAATAGTCCATTATAGTCCAATAGATTTAAAATTGTTGTCTATAATTCTGACTGTTTCTGATTACTAAGTTACTTGACAAATCAGTGAGTCTTTCAAAATCACAATTTCTTTCATAAAAGCTCCACGGATCAGCGATACTTTGTTTTCTATAGTTTGATAGATTTCGAGTTGCTCATTCAGATAAAGAAACTCTTTTAAGTTCTGGGCGATAGAACAGACAGAAGAAGTGTCGAAATTTAGGGGAAAATGGACACAAATTCATGTAAGTAGCACCTTTTTGCTGTAAAATTAAGTTAGTGATTTGTCCGCTTTCGTACTGTCCAGATGCGTGTGTTTTGGTCAAAGTCATTAATTTTAATTCTTTGTACCTTATGATAGCTGCAATGGAGAACCATGAACAGGCGCAAAAGAGCACTTATACATTAGTCATGTTTATACTCCTTGTTTGATTCAAGTACGCGCCCATTATATTCATTTTCACCATGTTAGTGTTCCTAATGCTAATTAATGTTGGATGTTCATCATAATACCACATCGGACACTGAAAACTGCTAAGTTAACTGCCAGTTAACTCCCGGTTAGTTGACAGGTGGTTTACCGGCTGCTTTTAAACCGTTCAAACAGTTTTTAAGTGGTTTTTTGATGGTTTGGATGCTATGATTTTGCCATCGTAAATAGGTGATTTTTCAACTACCTAAAAACTGTCAGTAAACCGCGTTCCTCTTTATCGAATTTCTACGAGTAGCTTGACCATTAAAAGACAGTTTACTGGCTGTAAATAGGCAGTTTGAACCACCAATTTATGGCGGTAAAACGGTCTACGTAAACTTTAGGACGTTTTTAGGCAGTTAATTGTCAGTAACTGTTTAAAAAGGATCCGTAAACCGTCAACAGAAAAGAAAAAAAGAGTAATAGTTTCAGATGTAAGGATTGAACCTATGTCTCACAGATTCGTAGTCTGTCACTCTAACAGTTCTAATTTTCTGAACTGTTTCCAATAAAAGACTTTGGCTGTGACTCGGTTTTCCATATATAAAAAACTGATAAATGTGTTTACCTTTGATTTCTAATCTTCAAAACTTGAAAGAAATCAAAATTCAGTTGCTTCGTTTGATCACCTTCTTACAGCTTATTTACGG